TCACAGTCAAGCCGTAGTCAATCACACTACTGAAAGAGTAGCCCAGGTACAGGGGCATGCATGTCCCTATAGTCCCAGCTACTCTGGTGGCTGAAGCACGAGGGTCACTTGAGAGCTCAGGAGTCTGAGATCAGCCTGGATAACATAATGAGACCCCATCCAGGAAAAAAGAAAAAAAAAAAAAAGAAAGAAAGAAAAGCAGCTACCATCAATCTCCCCTGCACCCTCCTATCATTTCTGGCTAATTTTCTCCAAAGTATTTATCATCATCTGACGCATTTACCTCTTGTTTGCTTATTGTTTATCTTCTCCATTAAACTGTAAGAGAAGAAGCTTTTTCTCTCTTTTTCTCTTTTTCTTTTGGTGGTGGGGATTAGAATCCAGAGCCTTGTGCCTGCTTGTCAAGTACTCTCTACCACTGGGCTAGTGAGCTACATCTCTAACCCAGGGCTCTTCCTTTTAATTGCTGTATCTCCAGCACATAAGATGAATGACTGTAGAAAGATATTCAGGGCAAATAATGATATTTCAGCAACATTAGCCCCTCAAAATTGTGCAAACTACTACCCTGGGCTGCATGCCTACAAAGCTGGCCTTGTGTCCAGGAGTGAGTGCAAGTATGGGAATGACGGGGCCAAGCTGCCCATGAGACCACACTGTGGACAAAAGATGACTCAGGAGGGGTAAGGCCCTCCAAAAGTGGGTAGCCTAGAGGGAAATTTTATGTACACTCACAAAAAACTCTAGAACAAGGTGGCATTTGTTTAAAATATCTAGCCCTTGATGCTTAATACCTCATATTCTGAGAGGTACTAACTCTAGACTTTCTTCCTGATAGGAAAGACCACAAACCGTGGCTTATGAATGGACTGTATGTCTATTTCTGTCTCAAATTCCCGCTCTGGTCTGCTTATCACACCACAGACACCTTGCCTGACTTCCAGTCTTGTTTGCTCCAAAGTGCCCCCAGTTCATCCGCTCCACCCATCACTGCCCTCAATTTGCTGTTGACTTAACTCCACCTCGTCTAGTCCCTCCACACTCTGCTTTTACATACAGGGAACACTGGGCAGGGGTGCAGTCAACTTAGGAAATTGTCATAGGGCCCGAAGAATCTAAATATAATCTCTTTACAATAAAGATGTGTGTGTTCTCTCCTCCATGAGCTTACGGCACACAGAGCTCAGGTTCTGCACTGTCCACCTGTGTAGCCCAACAACCTTGTGTTCAGCCAGGCTGGCTGAATTATTGTACAGGATACTATAAACTCTAAGGATACTCCTAGTTAAGAAGTACCTCTGTATCCTCAGAAGGTATCCTACAACAACTCTGTAAAGTTACTTTATTGAACTATCATAATGTAAGAAACACTCTAACTAGCAAGAATTATAACACCCATCTGGGCATGGTGATGCACGCCTATAAGCCCAGCACTCTGGGAGGTCAAAGAAGGAGGACAGAAAATTCAAACCCAGCCTTGGGCAGTTTTTTTGTTTTTTTTTTTTTTTCCTACTGGGAATCAAACTCAGGACCTTGTGCTTGCTAGGCAGGAGCTCGTGCCACTGAGCTATATTCCCAGCCCCTGAGAACATAACAACTCAGCAAGAGCCTATTTCAAAAATAGAAACTAAAAAAGGCTGTGGATGTAACCCAGTGTGGAAGCCTTAGGTTCAATTCCAAGTACTGCAAACTAACTAAACAAACAGGTGGGAATAGTGGAGTGCACCTGTAATCCCAGTACTCAGGGTGCTGAGGCAGGTGGATCAGTGCAAGTCTGAGGCCCATCTGAGCTACACAGTGAGTTCAAGGTCAACCTGAACTACATAAGAGACCCCGTCTGGGGGGCTGGGGATTTAGCTCAGCGGCAAAGTGCCTGCCTGGCAAGCACAAGGTCATGAGTTCGGTTCCCGGTACCGGAGGAAAAAAAAAAAAAAAAAAGAGACCCCCGTCTCAAAAGACCAAAAAACAAAGAAACATTTCAAAGGGACCAATATTTTAAATGCTATGTTAGATTGTCAAACACTTTTGTAATTTTCAAAGTTACTTTGAGTTCTTTAAATCTTGTATCTGAAAATCCGAAATTTTCAAAAGATAAATTAGAAAGAATGTTGCCATTCCCAGGATTCTTTTGAATAGGATTTCTTTCAATTATCTGCACTTTTAGCTACAGAGATTTACTTAAGTGAAAGTCTGGGGAACTGAGAAACATAAAGCTAAGCATTAGGATTTGGTTATTTAAAAACAGGTCAAATTTTAGAAATGGATACTAGATCATTTTCAATACTTTTTTTTTTTTGGCATCGGGAATCAAACTCAGGACCTTGCACTTGCCAGGCAGAAGCTTGTGCTGCTGAGCTATATTTCTGGTCCTTTTAATATTTTTCAGCAGACTTGAAAACTGGTTTCTCTCCTACCTTCCTCCCACACATACATCCAGGCAGGATCAAGCATAAAAAAACACAACCCAACTCAGAATTAGTAAGATGCGTTACCAGCAATAAAAATATTGGATGGGTAAAACCTTTCCCTCCTTGGTTCTCAGTTTCTCCAAATATAAAAAGGAGGCGTTCCTATATCCCAGCACTCAGGAGGCTGATGTAGGAGGATTGCTGTGTGTTTGAGGCCAGCCTGGGCTATAACAGTGAGTTCAAGGACAGTGTAAACTACATAGTGAGACCCTGTCTCAAAAAACAACAACAAAAAAAATATATATATATAATTTTGGACTTTTCCAGTCTAATGTATATGATGGTGAGGGCTGAGGGTATAACTCAAGGGGAGTGCTTGCAGAGCATGTGTGGCTCTGGATTCCAGCCCCACTGCAAAAAAAAAAAAGACAAAAGACTATAGATGTAAGGGAGTGCCTATTCACCCTATAATAGGCTTCAGTTTTGTTTTGTTTTGAAGTTTGCTTCAGTTTTGTTTTGGTTTTTGAAAGGGATTAAACCCATAGATGCTCTACCACTGAGCTACATCTGCAGATGAGTTAATTAAGTACAGGTCTTGCTGAGTCATTCAGGATGGTCTTGAACCCACTATGTAGCCCAGGTTGGCCTTGAATTCACAGCAATCCTCCTGCCATGACCTTTCATATTTTACTTTTGAGACAAGGTCTTACTAAATTATGCAGGTCTCCCAGTGCTGGGATTTCAAGTTTGTGCCATCACGCCAGGTTTACAATGGTCTGTGCCACTTCCCCGCCCCAAACCTTCCCACTGAACATCCCCAGACTTTAAAAATGTTTGACTTTTAGACAGGGTCCTGCTAAGTTGCTAAATTGTCCATACCTGGCTTGAACTTGCAATCATCTTTCTCAGCCTCCCAAAGGGCTGGGATTACAGGCACAACCCTTCAGATTATCTGAGTTTCTTCAATGCATTTAAATTAGAATTTGAGCCGGGCATGGTGGTACACACTTATTATCCCAGTACGCATGAGCCTGAGGCAGGAGGACTGCTGCAACTTCAAGGCCAGCCTGGGTTACATAAATGAGTTCAAAGGCAGGCTGTACTACACAGTAAGACAGTGTCTCAAAACAAACAAAAAACAAATAAAAAACATATACCAAACTATGACTTGGTTTACTAAAATCTTGTTACTATAATTTTATTATTAATATATGCAGCTAACATTTACTAGGCAAGTTCAATGTGTTAGGTGCCACTTATTCAATATGCTAGGCATATATAAAATTCCTTTTAGGGATTATCTGATTGAACCATCCTAATAAATTCATGAAGTTAGATGTCAATATTGTCCTCATGTTACAGATAGGCAAACCAGCTCCCTGGCTGTCTGTTTAGCTTACCTCAAGCCACTGAAATGCAGAATGGCAACACTAGAACACAAATTCTCTTCATTTCAATCTGGTTGTGGAACACACTGTTAACCCCATGACTCCCGGCTGGCTGCCTGGTGCAGGAGGCGCTCGACATTCCTTCTTGTGATGATCCAAGGGCCTCTGTGCCACCTGTCTTCACAGATGGGATGATGGGTTGGCGACTGGAGAGTTCCTTTGATTTCAGCTTAATTCCTGGGAGACAGTGTGGTGGTCTTTTTTTTTTTTTTTTAAGTGTGATCTTTTCATTAAGAAATGCTTTTAGACTTTCCCTTGGATGAGTAACAGTGGATTTCACTGGTTATTTCAAATCACCTATGAATGATAGGATGGCAAAAAAATGGTACAAATTTTCTTTGAATTTCTAGTTTGGTTCTTTTTTTTAATTTTTTTTATTTTTTTATTTTTTTTAATTTTTTTGGTTTTTCTCTGGTACCGGGAACCGAACTCACGACCTTGCGCTTGCCAGGCAGGCTCTAGTTTGGTTCTTGATGTCTATTTATTGTCTAAGTCTAACACCATACACAGCTGAGACATCACATTATTTTGCAACATATTTTTGAGATGCATTTGTATTATTATTTTGCAACATATTAAGGTGAAAACCACATCCAGAAAAGTAAGATTAATTTTATGCACATATAGTACACTTCATAATTTTACATCCATTATTTTCACTTTTATAGGAAATAGGAAAGACAGGGTTTTCTTGCCCATTTTGCAAATAAGGAAGAGTCACAGAAAAAGGAAGTGGCTTGCCCTGGGCTTCTGAGCTGGCTGGAACCTAAATTCAGTGTTTACTTGGCCACCTCCCTATTGTAAAGGAGTCCCTGTGGCCACAGCCTGGTATGGCACAGCCTTTAGTACAGTTATTGCGTGTCAGATACTTCCTGACAGATAGAACCAAATGACTGCTGTTCTGGAGGCTGTGTGTGCCAGGCTGCACCACAGGGGTTCCTGTATGAATAACAACCTGTGCCTGAAGACCAGGATGCAGTACCAGCCATTCCCTTGTTCACACCTGTCCAGTGTGATAAAGAAAGGAGAATTCATCTGCAGCTGTGGCCCACCCAGATAAAACTTTTAGGCGGGAAGTCAAGTGACAAGTGAACATGTGTGTGGGTTTTTTTTTTTAAGTGTTGTTTTTGATGTTTTTAACAAGCTTTAGGCTGATTGTAGAAGCCAGACCAAATACCAGGAAGGTACTGCAGCAAGATGGACTTGGGAGAGGATCAGCCTCATTTGCAACTCTATCAGACACCTGACCAGCCTCGAGGAGAGACCTTTGCTCCAGGTAAAGAAAGGAACCTTTAGAGGTGGTGGCTGTTGGGAAGACTTGGGGCTATGATTATTTTCTTCTTTATGGATCTGGCAAAAAAAGGGGGGGCAAAATTGAGAACATTCGTATAACTTTAGGTGGGGAGATGGGCTATCTAACCACCTGAAATGCCTTTTAGTGCTAAAATTCCAATAAGCAGAGAAACACAAGGTGAAAACAAATAAATTATTAATAAGATATCCACTTAAATGGAAGATAATAAAATATACCCCTATGCTTCTATGGTAGCACACATGTGGACTGCCTTTTGGAAGGTGATCTGGGAATAGGTGGTAAGAACCGTAACAGTGCTTATTCTTTTGATTCCTCATCTCAGCCCTGGGATCTGTTGTAAAGTGTCATTTTGCAAAACGTTTTGCAGAACCTGAGGTCTTGAGACACCCTAAGATAATGTTTTAAAACTTCTTGGTTTGATGGATCTTACTGGTATTCTGATGAGGTCTAGATCCCTTCTTAGAATAAACATTTTAAATATATAAAATTAAGTACATACGATTGCAAAGAAAGTAATTACGTTAATAATCAAAATTCAAAAATTATGATACAGTAATACATGTTTATTTATAGATGCACTAAATAATAAGATACAGTGGTGGATCTAATAATCATAGTGTTAAACAAATCATGTCTAATGATATTTTAAGGGATCTGAAAGAACAATATATGAAAAAATCTGATTTCTTTTGGTAACAAAGTCACATACCACTAGAATCACTGTGATTTGTTATCGATATTCATAACTGTAGGAAATGGTGCTTTTAATTAGAAGTTGGTAAAAATACAGGTATAATTTTTCCCTATTAAGAATCTTAGTCCTAGGGGCTGGGGATTTAGCTCAGCGGCAAAGCGCCTGCCTGGCAAGCGCAAGGTCGTGAGTGCAGTTCCTGGTACCGGAGAAAAACAAAAACAAAAACAAAAAAAAAAAAAAAGAAGAATCTTAGTCCTTCAATAATGTTAAGTGAAATAAATCAGACATACAAGCTTATATATTGTACGGTTCCTCTTAGATGAGAGACCCAAACTAAAAATACTTTCTTTTTTTGCATAAACTTCTTTTTGTTATTAAACCTAACTACATGCTTCCTAAAGTCCAGTTATAAAAATACTTTAAAGAGCAGAAAGAAAGAGATAATAGGAAACAGAGAACAGATTTACAAATGGGTAGGGGACAAAGAGATGCAGGGAGAGAGGTGGGAAGGGAGAGGCAGGAGAAGTAAAAAGAACTAAGATGTGTTATGTACATGTACCAATTCCCTATGATGAATATAATCATTACAGTCAGTCAACATGTACTAATAAAAATTAAAAATTGGATAAAAAACAAAGAGATAAGCAAATAAATATAAGATTAAAATGGAAAAGAAAAAAAGAACCCTTGTCCTCAGCCCTGCCCAATGGCATATACCTATAATCCCAGCTACTCTGTAGGCTGAAGCAGGAGGATTGCAAATTCAAGCTTTCCTAGGTAACTTAGTGACCTAGCAATACCCTGTCTCAAAATTGAAAAAAAAAGGGGGGGTCATATACCTCAGTGAAAAGGCTCTGGGTTCAATCCTCAGTATAAGCAGGTAAAAAAAACCTCACTTTAAGAAAGAAAGGTGCCACAGTGCAGATCTGCTTCACTCCACAGGCTCTGAGAGGATCTACATGGACAGCCCATTTGCTTTTCTCAAACTTGGATGAGAGAAGAAACTTTCTGATAATACTCTGGGGTTGAACACGAAGGTGCTCTGCCCCTGGGCTACATCCCTTTTTATATTTTGTTTTGAGACAGAGTCTCACTAAGTTGCCCGGCTGGCCTTGAGCTTGTCATCTTCTGGCCTCAGCCTTCTGAGTAGCTTGGATTACACGTGTGAGCCATCTCACTTGATTTGATAATATTCTTAATATTCTAAAGAACTTGAAGAAACATCATCCTAAGGGAAAAATTAGGAAGAGGAAAAAAAGCTGTATGCAATGAATATGCTAATAGTTTTTTACATGCAAGGCAAAACATGATGGTGACAGCCTAAATGCTCAGTACAAGCTGAGTGACTGGGTAAATAAGAATGTATTGGATAGATTAAGTACCATGTCATTAGTAAAATCATAGTTATGAAAACTATTTCATGCCGGGTGTGGTAGCACACACCTGTAATCCCAGCACTCGGGAGGCTGAGGCGGGAGGATCATTGTAAATTCGAGACCAGCCTGGGCTACAAAGTTAGCTCAAGGCTAGCTTGAACTGAATAGCGAGACCCTGTCTCAAAAGGCAAAAAAAAAAAAAAAAAAGAAAACCAGGAAAAGAAAACTATCTCATGAGAAATACTTCTGATACCATGTGATGTTTAAAAATTGTGGTATGCTATCATTACAACTTTGTGTGTATGGCCTGGATAGAAATGAGGAATAATATGAAACCAGGTTATTACGTTAAAGATAGCATATGCTCAGCCTGAGAGACACAGCAGTACAGTGGTGACTGGGTTCACGAACTTATTTCCATGATTCTCATCGCAACCAAACTGGATGAGAACCAAATCAAATCCAATTGTTAGGTTCAATGTTGTATCTATGAAATTAATAGGTTGGTAGCACACTAATGTGTAAATACCATGTCTAAATAGGTGTCTGATCTTTCCATTCAAAAATATTTCCTCTACTTTAGATTCTGTGAGGAGGCATAAGGATAACTGGAGGAATAGGAGATGGCCCTTGTCCTCAAAAATGGAGGAAAAAAACCCAGCTCAGGGATTCCACCACTTAGCAATAGGACTCTTCTGCTGACCAACACCACATGTCCCCCTCTGGTGACCTTCTTTTTTATCCTACAGAAATCATTGGAACTTGGAGTTTGCGGAACCGAGAACAACTCAGAAAAAGAAAAGCTGAAGCACAAAAGACTCAAACTTTACAATGGACATTTGGGTATGGTATATCACCAGGGAAAAGGAACTAATATTTATCCAGCTTAGGTTATGTGGTGAGCGGTGCTGCACTAACACACTCTCTTCTGTCTTTGCACCAATCCTATGAATCAAGTGCTGTTATCCTATTTTACAAAAAAGAGAAAATAATCTCCAATGAATTAACTCTCTTGCCTAAAGCCACAGGAGTAAAGTCGTGGCAACAGAATTTCATCCCTGTCTCTTTTAATTAAAGCACCAGGAAAACAAATCATGTGGTGGAGAAGCCTGGCGTGAGGCTACCCTGGTCATACATGTGTAGACATGCACACATCTTGTGAACAGTGTGGGGGAGCTCTCTAGTAGCTCTCTAGTAGTGTCATCCTTGCTCACTAACTATGATTTTCTCAGCTCAATAACCCGCAAAATAGTAAATGAGTGACAAACATTTTGGGAGTTCCTAAATTGGCCACCAATGTCACCATTGTAAACTCAGGGAGAGAGTATAGGGACATGATTATGAATTAGGCAGCATCAACTGCATCCATTTAGAATATAACTATGGCAATAGGAGATTTGCTTGTGTGGCGATAGAAAAAGGGAGCCCACAGAGCCTGGGCACCATGGATACTATGGGCAGGGTAGTTCCTTATTTTGGGAGGCTGTCCTGTGCATTGCAGATGCTTAGTTTTCTGATCTCTGGAAACCAACAGTGCCTCTTTCCTCCCTTCTCGGTTGAGACAGCCAAAATATCTCCAGACATTGCTAAATGTCTTCTGGGGTGGGTTGAGGGGAAAGGTGGGCAAATCACTCTCACTTGAGAACTATTTTGCAAAGCACTCTTTAAACTTTTAAAATGTTTAGTTATCCTTTTATGAGATGGGCTTTCTGTGTTGCCCAGATGTCTCACACTCCTGGAATCCAGAGATCCTTCTGCCCCAGTCATCCAAATGCTGGGACTATGGGCAGGCACTGTGCCCAGCCTGCCCTCTTATTAAGAAAGGGCATCTTTCACTTCCAACTAGAACAGGACTGTCTGTTCTGCTACCACAGATGTTTCTGTAATTCCTGTTAGCTCACACATGATTGGTAAAGAGGAAAATGATGTCAGTATAATGTGGCAGTGGTGTTGGTTCATTTTCCTAATCAAAAGGAGCAGAACAGTGGGAACAGAATTAAAACCTGCAGCAGAAGAGTGAAGAGCCCTCCCGTGTGACTCTTCACCATGAACGCAGGATCCTTTCCAGCCTGCACCCAGGGCTTCCTCCCCAGAGAGGCACGCTGGCCTTGCAGAGCTCTCACCACATGGCAGCTTGCATACCGTTGTCCTCAGCTTAATGGCTCATAGCCCAGGTCTCAGTGGCCTTGAGTCTACAATGACACCATTGCTTTTCTACATTTTCACTAGCTCCTGAGGAAGACTCCAGCCATCAGAGATTGCCTACCTAAATGTTAATGTTAAAAGGTTGTATAGGTTTTGAGTTGTTTGTCCCAAGTCTATTCCCCCAGCCCTATAACCACTGTTACTTTTTAGTGCCTGATTTTGCAGAAAGTGAGATTTTTCAGGAACACAACCGTGACTTTATAGCAGAAACTTTTGTACTTGGGTCTTCTTGAAGATAATCCAGTTAGCTTTCCCCTTCTCCCATTAAGCAGCCTTCTGATCATTACTGGGTTTTCCACAGAGTAAAAGTGGGTTTGTTTACCTTACATTCATTCATCACCCTAAGCTCTCCCTGCTATGTGACTTTGTATTTTTCACTGCTCATTTAAAAACTGGTCTTGCCGGGCATGGTGACACACACCTGTAATCCCAGCACTCGGGAGGCTGAGGCAGGAGGATCATTGGGAGTTCGAGGCCAGCCTGGGCTACAAAGTGAGCTCAAGGTCAGCCTGAACTGCATAGTGAGACCCTGTCTCAAAAAGACAAAACTAATAAAATAAAAAAAATAAAAACTGGTCTTTAGGTTTAGCTATCGGTCTTATTGAGCCTAGTCAGTGAGCTCTGCCCCTGACAAGCAGAGCTAGCATCACTGCACTGACAGAATTGATTCCCCAAACTTGCTGAGCTGAGGGCACAAGGCTGAGGAATTCTTTGAAGTAGATGACACCCTGGTGAGCTTGGCAGTTGGCTAGACTTGCTATGGTGATGTTCTCTATGCTGCTGATGTTCTCTATGCTGCTGATGTTCTCTAAGCCTCTTTTATCATCACAACACATACACATAATGAAACTTTAATGGCTTCAGAGAGAGGCAGCATGGTGTAAGAGTTCAGAGACTGGTGGACTGGCCAGCTCGACTAGATACGAAGCCTGACTTCCTCACTTCCTAGGTGTTGGCCCAGGGCAAATTACTAAACTTCTCTGTGCCTCAGTTTTGTCATCTGCAAAATGAAGATAATAGTAACCACCTCATAGGCTGACAGTGAGATAACAGAAGTTAGTTACTGATAACAGTGCCAGACACAGAGGGAGGACTATAAAGGTTTCTCTATGAACATGAAAGAACTAGTTTTACTGTATCTAAATGACTGTCCATGTTAAGTTATATGTCATTCTTACAACTGCCACATGAAGTTGAACAGATATTATTTACTACATACTACATATAGAGAAGCCACGGCAGGGAGAGGTTAGGTGACTTGCCCACAATCAGGGGAGAGTACAGACTAAGGGTCAGGCCATGCCAATGCTTTCGTATTGTTTTGAAAACTACCAGGGAAGACATGGACCATTATACTACTCAGATGTCCTCATAAAGAGATCTAGATAACAAGTTATTTATTTATTTATTTATTTATTTGTGTCTTTTTGAGACAGGGTCTTGCTATGCAGTTCAGGCTGACCTTGAGCTCACTTTGTAGCCCAGGCTGGTCTCGAACTCCCAATGATCCTCCTGTCTCAGCCTCCCAAGTGCTGGGATTACAGGTGTGCACCACCACGCCCAGCTAACATTTTTTTTTTTTGTACCAGAAATTGAACTCAGGACCTTACGCTTGCTAGGCAGGCACCTCTGCTGCTGAGCTATATCCCTGGCCCCGTTATTCAATAATTAATATCTAGGGGAAAATAAGTGTTTCCTGAAGAGTTCTGATATATCTTTTTTTTAAAAAAAAAAAAAAAAAAAACAGACTGGGGATATAGCTCAGTGGTACAGTGCCTGCCCGGCAAGTGTGAGGTCCTGAGTTTGATTCTGGTACAAAAAAAAAAAAAAAAAAAAAAAGTAAAAGAAAAATGACAATAGAGCTTTCTAATTTGTCTTGTTATCTTGGTTACTTGGAGCAATAGTTCAAAATGCTGAGGTGCTAGAACATCATCTTCAGATTTCCTTTTCTTCTGTAGGATTCTTAATATTTAATATTATTTAATGATATAAAATATATCAACATTTATATTAACAATATAAAATATAATAATATTTTAAATATAAATATATTTATATTATTTAGTATTTATTTTATGGTATTTATTTCACATATTTTTTATCCCTTTTTTTGGTGGTACTGAGGGTTGAGCCCGGGGCTTTCCCAATAAGCTCCATCTCCAGCCCTTTTTCATTTTTTAAAAATTTGAGAGCTGGACTCCAACCTGTGATCTTTCTGCCTAAGCCTCCAGAGTTCTGGGATTTTTTTTTTTTGTACCAGGAATTGAACTCAGGACCTTGCGCTTGCCAGGCAGGTGCTTGTGCCACTGAGCTATATCCCTGGCCCAAGTTCTGGGATTATAGGCATGAGCTACCACAATATATAAATAATCGTGACTTCAAATTGTTTTTAATGAAGTAATCTTTAAAATTTTTCATTATGAAAAATTTCAAACATTCATAGATGTAGAATGTGTAGATTTTTTTTAAATGTGCAAGGAGTTGTGAGCACTGCAAAGATTCAAGAAATAGTGGTTTTATCTCCAAAGAATGTTTAGTTTACGAAAAGAAATACAGTCTCTCCAGAAATAACCACAGTATGAGGCAGCCTATATTCCCTGCCTTAAATCATGATACAATAAGTCCTATAGTACAGTGATAGAGGGAACCTTTTAGAGGTGAGTGCCCACAATGCAACTCAAAACCCACCCATTTATCTCAAAGTGTCAAAGCCACTGAACACCCGGGTTTTAGTTTAGAAAAAACAACTCATACATTAACATCTTTTGTCTTAAAAGAATAACATGTGTGTGATAGGTTCGTCACGACTACTGCAGGAGTATAAGCAGGGAGAGCATTTCATTCTTGTGGTCTGTTAGAGAAGGATCCACATAGCGGGTAGCATGGAGCAGAATTTCAATAGGTTTAGAAAAATGATGAAATGCTTATTTATAGTACATTCTCCCCATCCCCCAGCCCATCTGTATTAGCCATCTGTATTTGGTTATATTTGCAGAGCCTACCAATTTGTCATTGGCTGCAATTTGTATGTATCTTATTTCATCTTCTAGATCTTTAATCTATTAATTAGGTATAATAGGGCCACTCATGCTTTTCTACCAGGCTTTGTAACCTCAAGAAATATTTTTTTGTGCAGCTTTTGTTTTGTTCTTTTGAGACAGGGTTTCGCTATGCAGTTCAGGCTGGTTTTAAACTCACTATGTAGCCCAGCCTGGCCTTGAACTCACAGTGATTCTCCTGCCTCAGCCTCCTGAGTGCTAGGATTGCAGGCGTACACCACCACGCATGGCTTTATGCAGCTTTTTTTTTTTTTTTTTTTTTTGAGACAGGGTCTCACTATGCAGTTCAAGCCTTTGCTATGCACTGACCATGAGCTCACTTTGTAGCCCAGGCTGGCCTCGAACTCGCAATGATCCTCCTGCCTCAGCCTCCCAAGTGCTGGGATTACAGGCATGCACCACCATGCCCAGCTTTTATGCAGCTTTTGACCAAGTTTACAGTACACCTCATTTGATATATGTTATAGCTGCTTAATATTCCTTAAAGGAGACGCTGTATCAGGCAAGCAAGCCATATATACCACCCACCTGCAGCCCACACAGAGGACCCAGGCCTACACTGCAGAGCTAGAAACTCAGCTGGATCAGTTTACCCAGGGGGTAGGGGAGCTACCTCACTAACCTCAAAGAGATGAAGTCACAGACCAGAATGTCATCTATTAATCATAAAGGAATTATACATTTTCCATAACCAAACTTTAAGGGTATGCTAACACACACACACACACACACACACACACACACACACACACACACTCTCTCTCCTCTGGTGTGCAAGGTGTCAAAGTCAAAAAGTCCTGGAGGAACATTTCCTCTCCTAACAACTGAGAACATCTATCACAATTCATTTTACAAATAAGGAAATCGAAGTCCACAGAAATTGAGAGACTTGTTCAAGGTGGTGTAACAAAGCAGTGAGGTCTTTGAACTGTTATTAAAAGTATTTATTTGAATTCTGTAGCCCCGCTGCTGACACTAATTCTGATCTCTCTGCAGAGAACAGAAAAAACGCAAGTGGCAGAACACAGGAAAAGGAAAGCAAAGAGGCCGGAAGAGACAACAGCACGCGGAGCCAAAGATAAAGCCTCAGGCACAAATAGCAAAGGAGATGATGGAGGAAGCACTGGTACCTACAGAGAAAGAAAATGAGCCGCCTGGAAGAGTAGCTGAAGCCCCTGCTTTGGTAACTTCCCCAAAAAACACTGTGTCGGAGGAACATTCTTCAGAACTATCTCAAGAAAGCATTACACAACAGGAAAATTCTCCTGAGTACCAAGACATAGTGGTACAAAACCATTCTTCTGAAACATGCCAACACAGGGCTGAATCTGAAGACCTCGCTCCTGAAATGTGCCAAGAGGTAGCTGTACTTCAAGACCATTCTTCCAAATTTTGTCAAGAGGTGGCTCAGCCTGAAGTCCTTGCTCCTGAAACATGCCAAGAATCAGCTGTGATTCAAGCTCGTCCTTTCAAAATATGGCAGGATATAGTTCAGTCTGAAGTCCTTGTTCCTAAAATGTGCCAAGAAACAGCTGTTCCCAAAGCCCCTTATTCCATAACCCATGAAGTTGTCGCTGACCAGGAAAGATGTACCCCTGAAGCATCCTTCAAAGTGGATGTGCCCAAAGACTACCCAGAGGACACAGACCCAGACACAGCTGGACTAGAAAAGCCCACTTTGGAACAAGATCAAGCTAAGTCAGAAGGCTCATTTCTTCAAACACAAGAAATAACTCTGCCTAAAGACCTTTCTTCAAAAACATATCAAGAAACAATTGAGCCTGAGTACTTTTCTCATGAAACATATAAAGAAGTGAGTGTGCCTAACAGTACCTTTCATAAAACAATCCAAGAAACACCCGAGCATGAAGAATATTCACCTGAAATAAACCAAGAAACACTTGGGCCTGAAGACTATTCACCAGAAACCTACCAAGGAACACACGAGCCCGAAGACCTCTCTACTAAGACATATAAAAATGAGAATGCATCTAAAGAATACCTTCCAGAACCATACCAAGAAACAGGCAAGCCCCAAGGCCAGGATCCTAAAGTACATGGAGAAGACTCTAACGATGTTTGTACTCCTCCTCAAGGTAGGGGCTGTTTATAGCAACAACACAGGTACATCTCCCTCAAGTAGTAATGTACATCCTTGTTTAACAGTGCTCAGTTACTTTAATAGGTAAGATGGCTATCATGAACTATTGTCTAAAAAAATGCTTTTCATGCAACTAAAGTTTGTCTTGGCAAATTTCCAAAGAATTAAAACAACTGAAAATACAAGTATAGTATAGTAGGTACCTGTATATACTACTCATTTTGAGAAGCTATCACCAGTGAAATGAACTCACATAGGATGACTTAGAAGCAAAATTTGTTCTTAACCGGGAATCAAACTCAGGACCTTGTGCTTGCCAGGCAGGTGCTTGTGCCATTGAGCTATATCCCTGGCAGGGGCACAAGTATTTTAAAACACAATTAAATTCAGATTAACAAGAAAACTAAAGGAATGAATTTTTTCCCAGGAAATTTCATTTTCCTGATAAACTAAAGGCAAGTGAATTCACAGCACAAAGTACTGATGGAGGTACAAAGGTAGGAAACGTGATCCTGGGAATGACAGAACTCATTCTGGTAGGTTTTATCAGCTTTACCAAAACCCTATTTCAGATTTGTTTCTGAAAATCTTTTTCTTCAGCAAAGTGTTTTTTTAAAGTTACTGGGGATTGAATTCAGCCCCTTCTGAATGAGCTACATTCCCAGTCCTTTTAAATTTTGAGGCATTGTCTCACTAAATTGCCCAGGCTGAGCTCAAACTTGAGATCACTTTTTTTCTGCCTCCCAGAGTGCTGGGATTATAGGCATGTGCCACACCGGGCTTCACCACAGTATTTAAGAGAAAAATAATGTGATTGATCTTTCTTTTTCTTTTTTTCTTGGTGTTTTGAGACAGTGTCCCTGTGTATTCAGGCTGGCCTTGAACTTTTTCTATCTAGCCCAGGCTGGGCTCAAACTCACAGGGAACCACCATGCCCAGCTCTCTTTCTTTATTTTGGCTTGTCTCAGGGACATGACAGAATCTGATTCCCTTTGGAGGACACTAAGGACAGTTAAGAAATGCACTGAGGGTTGGAAGTTTAGCTCAGTGCAGAGCATATGCCTGGCAGACATGATCTCTAGCACTAACAAAAACATACAAAAAAAAAAGAAAAAAGAAAGAAGAAATAGGTTGACTCTCTCAGACCAGACAAGGTATTTATCCCCAGGAAACTGTTCTCTAAAAAAACCCCTTTGGTAGCTTATTTGTTCTTTCTGCTAAAAAATGAAAGCAACAAAAATATAGTGTTAGCTGGTTTCCAAGTAATGCAGCTTCTGAGGAACTATTTAAAGCAAATGTTTTAAAAACATATGTATAAAACTCTCCTTGCACTGGTAGGAGTGTCCTGATAGAGAAGGAGCCTTACCTAATCATTAAACGCAGAAAGGCCAATAGGGGCAAGTATTTAATGCTCATTTTATTTCTGATTTTGTCTTTCTGACCAAATTGGACTATATTTTTTTACTGATTATAAAAGTAATGTGGCCGGGCGTGGTGGCACACATCTGTAACCCCAGCACTCGGGAGGCTGAGGCAGGAGGATCATTGTGAGTTTGAGACCAGCCTGGGCTACAAGTGAATTCAAGGCCAGCCTGAACGGCATAGTGAGACCCCGTCTCAAACACACACACACACATACACAAAAGTAATGTATTCATTATAATAAATTTGAACAAGTGAATATAAAAAAGTCCACAGGATACTATCTCCTATCTCCAATGTTAAGGGTTTGTTTTTTTTTTTTTTTAAAGACATAGTGCAATAATCTTTTACTTTTTTCCATTTATCTTATGTATTATAGGTATCTATAGGATGTCTTTTGTAATAATTGCATAATATTGTGCTATATGAATGGACAATAATTTATTCAGTCACCTAGGTTTTTGTCAAATTTTACCAGTACAATAATGTTCGATGAACATCATTGGAATAAAATTTATTTATTTGATATTTATTTGGTACTTCTGGTTTGCTAGAGACTGTATTAAATATTTTACATAGATTATTTTAGTTTATGTTTTGTTGATTTTTTTTTCCAGTACCAGGAATCGAACTCACAGCCTCGTGCTTGCCAGGCAGGCATTGTGCCACTGAGCTAAACCCTCAGCCCCTGTTGTATTTTGTTGAGACAGGGTCTCACTATGCAGTTCAGAACTTACAGTGATCCTCCTGCCTCAGGCTCCCAAGTGCTGGGATTATTTTGTCAATGTTTTAAAACCCTATGGAGGGGCCAGGGATTTAGCTCAGTGGCAGAGTGCCTGCCTTGCAAGTGTGAGGTCCGGAGTTCAATTCCTGGTACAAAAACAAACGAAAAAACACAACCCCATGGGATCAGTAATATTCCCATTTTGTATACATTTTAAGGGAACTGGGGAACTGGAAACTTAAAGTTTGTCTGATTATTTCTTTTGGATCAATCCCTAGAAGTTGAGTTGGCTGGCCCACAGTCCTGATAGTTAAAGTCTGGATATATGCAGATGAGAAATGTGTAGCAATGAACACAAATCATGAATTTATGTAAGTGCCCTTTCTCTACACCCTTACTAGCATTGCACATGATGATATTTTAAAAATCTGTGTCAAGGCTGGGGGTGCAGTTTAGTGGTAGGGCAAGTGCCTCTAGTATGCATGAGCCCCTGGCTTCAATGCCTAGTACTGAAATAAAACAAAAAGCAAACAGGACTTTCATTTACTTGAAATTTGTTTTTATGCTTGATATGAGGTAGGATTTCTTCTCTGTCCTGCCTCCTTCTTGGATAGGCAATTGTCCCAATACTACTTACTCAATCTATTTTCGTATTTTATTTGATTTTACAGAAATGAAAGAAAAACCCAAAGTAGAAGAACCAGAAGTACCAGCAATTCCACATGTTCCTCAAGAGACTGGTCCAGAAAATGATGCGTATAACTATGTTTTGTTTTAACAATGTCCAACCATAAAGTTGTAATCCTGTGGAATATGCATCTTAGTATTTTGTGTGTTTTTCTCAAACTATTGTAGAAATAACTACAATTTTCATTAATAATTTAATTTAGTCTTTTTTTCCTTTTACAGAAGATACTTCAGAGGACTAACATTTTTCAAGGCTCTAAAACAGATAATATTCTGTGTGTGTGTGTGTGTGTGTGTGCATGTGGGTGTATATATATGTATATGGGGGTGAAGGGAAGAGAAAAGGAGAAGGGGAAGGCTGAATAATTTTTCCCTCTAATAACAAACATTTCTTTTTTTTTTTGGTTTTTCTCCGGTACTGGAATCGAACTCATGACCTTGCGCTTGCCAGGCAGGCACTGTGCCGCTGAGCTCAATCCCCAGCCCCAACATTTAATTCTTAAGAGTAAAAAAGTGGTTACACTTTAGAAATGTATAGTTTTTGTCAATCTTGTTCAATTATTGATATAACAATAACAACATTTTATTCATGCTTTGGTTCTTTTAGCTAATTTGAATGATTTTTATTTTGGGACTCCTTAAAAGATATTTTGGAATGATGAATGCAGTTTACTTTTTTATTTTAAAGAAGAGAAAAATAAACAATAAAAACAACCATATAAGATTTCAAAACAAGACTGTAGTGTAGGAGAGTAACGTTGGTTAGTACACTGCATATTGTCATCTTCAAAGGTAGATTTACTTGTATTTGGATTGTATTTGGATTTTCTATTGTTTTCTTTTTAAATATTGTATTTGTGCAAAAATGTACATTAAACTACTATGACATGCTTAACTGTGTGGACAGCATCATAGCATTGTGGGGGTCAGAAGATGTATATGGCAAACAGTCCTTGCTTATCGGTGGTCAATATAGTTTCACGGGTAGAGGGGAATAAAACAACAGAAAACCAATAATTCCAAAAGAAACTAGTAAGCATTAGTGCCATGTAAATAGTAGGTATAATAAAGGAAACACTCACCTGTTGCTGGAATGGAGCCTTGAAATATTGGGAGGATTTGCACAGGTGAGAACAGCAGCATTACTGTATGTGAACCAGAGATATGTGGGTTCAAGGTGTGCTCAAATGAACTGCATGCAACTATAATTAAAGTGGGGTCCATATGGAACAGTTGGCTTGCATGCTATAAAACTTTCATTACAGAGCTAATCTATTTTTAGGAGTGTAGAGAATTTTACATACCTAGGAAGCGTATCATTTGTTAGATAACAAGAAAGTAAAACTTTTACACAATAAAGTGGCAGTTTTCATATTTTAGAAACATTCATTTGGAGGTAATGGTCAAGATGACAATGACAAGAGACCAGAAGCAGGAATAAGAACTATTCTAGGCAGAAAGATGTCTGAAACCTCCTTTGGTATTTTGATTGTTTTAAATTTTCATTCTACTATTATAGGGGACTAAGAGTAAAGAAGATTTTTACGAGTAAAGTTTCATTCAGCAAGGACATAACTACACAAGCTCTCCACATAAGCTTTGTGCTAGATACTAGCCTACACAGAAGTAGATCCCAGTCCCTCTTGCATTCATAGTATGCAACAGTGGTTCTTTCAACCCGCATGGTACGTAAGATTTATTGGGGAGGATTTAAAAAATACAGATGCCCATTCTGCTTCCCTGGCAATTGATTCCCCTATCTTGAGCAACAACCAGGAATAAGTATACTTACTTTTGAACTTTTTATCTTTTGGTTCTTTTGAGGCAGGGTCTCACTATGTAGTGCAGGCTGACCTTCAACTCACTTATGTAGCCCAGGCCGGACGCAAACTCATGGCAATCCTCTGCCTCAGCCTTCTGAGTGCTGGGATTACAGGTGTGTGCCACCACACCCAGCTTGAATTTTTTAAAATAATCTTTGTTTTTTGAGAAATAGCTTTAGAATTATAGAAAAGTTGTAAAGATAATACAGAAGTTCCTTATCTCTTTCACCTAGTTTGTCCTAATGTTACACCTCACATAACCATGATTCACTTGTCAAACTAAGTAAACTACATTACCATTAATTAAACTACAGACACTATTTAGTTTTCACTAGTTTTTCCACTGATCTCTTTCTCTACTTCAAGATATAACACAAGATGCAGCACTGCCTTTAGAACATATTTTATTTTAAAAGCTCTCTGGATGATTCTCATCTTTACTCTAGGGTTCAAAACACTAGTATAGTGGGGAAGTTACAATGCTGTTTCCCTCCTATTTGCTACCCTCCTCAGGATGTATTTATTATGCAATGATTACTTACATCCTACAATGCTCAAGTGACATATTGAGGGAAGAACCACCCTAGAATAGATGATTCCTTACCTCTGGATGACACTTCACTATGTCTGCTTCTGCATACCCCACTGAATTTAATCAACATGAAAGGCTGTGCAATAGGCTGGGCAGTGATTACTACTCCCATTTTACAGACAAGCTAACAACCTCAGAGAAGCTGAGCACTCCCCCAGAGTCACATCTGACTTCCTTTCATGATGATGCTCCATCTTAGAATGCTTCTGTCTCAATTTTACCTGCCAGAGGGGATTAAGACTACAGACAAGAGTTGAGTGAAATTGAGCCGGGAGTGGTGGCACACGCCTGTAATCCCAGCACTCGGGAGGCTGAGGCAGGAGGATCATTGGGAGTTCGAGGCCAGCCTGGGCTACAAAGTGAGCTCAAGGCCAGCCTGAACTACATAGGGCGACCCTGTCTCAAAAAGACAAAAAAAAAACAAAACAACAAAAGAACACGAATGCTTTCAAAAAAAAAAAGAGTTGAGTGAAATCTGAAGTTCTAATAGTGTCTTGTGAAGATGAACCTTAAGAGATTTCCATTTGCGCTATCTGCACAAAGGTGAAAAAGATGGGGGAGTAGATGGAAAGAGGAATATAGTACATTGAGGGAAGCAGACTCTTCTCTGCATTTTAGATCCCCTTTGACCTGTTCTCTTCCCCTACTTCCTGCACACACAACATCTGCATTTTTTCATCACTCTCATCCAAATACCAATGTGCATTTAATTTTTTCCAGTTTTCTTCATGGTTTAGAACCTTTCAGTTATAGAATTATAAATCCTGCATGAAGCCAGGTGTAGTGGTGCATACCTGTAATGTTAGCACCCTGGGAAGCTGAAGCAGAAGGATCAAATTCAAGGCCAGTGTGGGCAACTTAGTGACTTAGCAAAACCATGTCTCAGAATAAAAAAGGGCTGGGGGCTGGGGATATAGCTCAGTAGCACAGTGCCTACCTGGAAAGTGCAAGGTGCAAGGTCTTGAGTTCGATTCCCAGTACAATAAATAAATAAATAAATAAATTTAAAAAAAGGCCTCAGGATATAGCCCAGTTCAAGGGCTCTGGGTTGAGTCCACAGTACCCTCCCCACAGACACACACAAGAAAAAGGGGGAAATATACTGCTAGAATCCATGTAATATTTTGTGCTGCCATCTTCTCATGGTAGGTGTGATGGTTGCTTTTAGAAATCTGTGAACCCTAACATATTACATCGAAAATGATGTGTAATAAGGTCAAACCTGAGCCTTAATTCTCAAAATGGTACTCATTCAAATGAGGTTAAGAATCACTCTACTGAGGGGTACATCTTAAAGCACCACAGGCTGATGACCATTTGTACCACAACTGTTTAGTTTTTTGTTTTTTTTTTTTGAGACAGGCTCTTGCAATGTAGTCCAGGCTGGCCTCAAACTCACAGCGATCCTCCTGCCTCAGCTTCCTGGAGTGTTGGGGTCACAGCTGTGCACCACCTGTGATACCTTTTTTTAAAAGGTAAAATCCTCTGAAAGTAGTAACTTGAATAGCACTTTTATTTTTGTTCTATTTTACAGTACTTAGGATTGAACCCAAGGAGGCCCGAGCAACATCCCCAGCGCCCACCTTTCGTAACAGGGTTCACTAGGGGAACAGATCCCAGCCTCTTATGATCCTCCAATGCAACCTCCAGAATAGTTGGAATTACAGGCTTGGGGCCACCGTGCCCCAGTTACCCTATGGGCTACACAATGAGTTCAGGACCAGCCTGAACTACAAATTGAGACCCTGTCTCAAAAAAAAAAAGTATCAATCTATTTCATTTGTGTCTCCACGTCTGCTTTGAGTTTCAGTCTTTGTCATGGTTGGTAATTACTGTTTTTGTGTGATCATCAAACGCCTTCCACACCTTCCGGGACAAAACATCTCTTCAACATTAGACTCTCCATGAGTGAAAAGATACCATCACTCTCAACAGCAGCATCTAGTGGCAAGCGCGGACATTTCCGCCCAGTTTTACAAGTGTACTTGTTACACAAGGATTCTTGTTTCTCCTGCTGAACAGAACTGGTCCTCCTAAAAGCAAAACAGTGGCAGTTCTTTGCAAATTTCCTGTAGAAAAGAACTGCCATAGGACAAGATATTAATATAATCGGTTAGTATTTTTTAAAAATTCACAATCTGCTATTTAACTTCTGTCTCCTACTGGCGGTTACTTTCTGCTAGTGACCTACTATTGGTCAGTGATAATGAACAGACTAGAGACAAGTTTCCATGGTCGGTAAGCCTTTTAATCTGTGGATTTGTACGGACTTTGCCTAATTTATATTACAGGTAATTTTTTTTTTCTTCTCAACCAACACCATAAATACCTAGAAACAGAATTACGTATACAGAGAAACGATACTGGTGAGAGGGCCTTACAATTAAGTAGGTAAAGGATGGGCTATCGGCGCAGAGACGACTGTCACTGCGAGGGATGAAACAATCCTTTTCGTGGGCTTTCAACTTTTCAGAAGTGCTGGGAAATCATGACAATCTTCTCGACGTGCACACTGACTCATAATTTTCCCCTCGCTTCAGTTCCGGTTAAGTATGTGTGCAGTACATGAAACAGTCCCCATTCCTAAAGCCCTAGCCTTGGGTGGGGGCTCCCTTGACAACATCGATCACCCTTGAAATAAGATTTACCGCGGATTCTTTTCTTACTACAGGAAAAACGAGCATACAGAGGAGTATAAATAATCACCTCTAGTCCCACCACCCAAGAGAACTGCAAACATTTAACATCCACTGTTTCTGCTGTGTGGTGATTGTATATACGCATCCTTTTTTCAAAACAAACACAACAAAACAAAACAGGGTCATTCTTTGGGACTGCAGGTGGTTTATGACTGATTCGTGAGACGTCTTTGCGGGTTAAATTTCCAGCCACGCGTCCGCCTCCGCACAAAGCGCGGGAACTCAGGGCTGTAGGTTGCTGCAGCAACTGAACATTGGGCTGCAGAGACGACCACTGGGAAGGAGCGACGTCCCAAGAGACCCCAGGAGCCCCAACACAGACCTCAGGGGGACCCGCGGCGCCACTTACCGCGCCCACCGTAGGACCGCGCCACCTCGTCAGCGCTGCTACGGCGCAGGCGCGGGGTATGGAGAGCGGAAACGGAAATCCGGAAGCGTGGGGTGCGCCTCGGCGACTGCAGCCATGCATCGCTTGGAAGAGCCCGGGCCTCGCCCCACAGCGACCCCGTGCGGGTGCGTGAAGCCGACCTTGGAGACAGGTAACTTTCAGGCAGTTGGCAGTGCCGCACTCAGGAGAGGCATAGGCCTAGGCGGCTGACTTTGGTGCTAAAAGAAATGTGAAAGGCGAGATTTTGAACTAACGTGCGACCTTGGCCGACTTGCGGCAGAGGTACGGGTCACGTATTCCGGCGACCACGTGATACGTTCTAGGCGAGCGGGATGACGTCACCCCGCTTGTCCTGGTCTCAGACCTAGACTGAGCTGTGAGCTAGTCTTGGCACAGTGGCTTTGACGCGTGTGGTGTAATGACTTTTTTGCCTAAAGAGTTCTTTCTGCTATAGGGGAGACAGGATGTGTAAAGCTGGCATCGTGCTAAGAATTAAATCCTGTGAGAGAGGGAGGCTATGATTTGGGAAATGAGGGAGAAGGAAAGTTGTGGGGAGACAAAGTGGTTTTACACTGGCCTTGAAAGATAGGCACATTTTGCGCGTTTTAACTACCCCTTTTCATAGTGAACAAAATATATTAATTTTAGGAAATAGAGGAAGCAAAGGGGAAAAATAGCTCACCATCCACCCTGAGAAAACCACTGATAATATCTTGCTATTTAAGTGGCCCACGTGTTCATTGTGTACACATTGGGAAAATGAGAGAATGGTTTTGTAACATTTAAAAATATGTATTTTACTAAGATCTTTTCACGGCAATGAACTTTAAGGGATGGTATATGCTATTTTGTTTTAGATATATGCTGTAATATAGTTAACCAGTTCCCTATTTGTTGATCATTTATATAATTGCTAGTTATCATCGTTTGCAATGAAAGTTCTTAACACCAAAGTTTTTGATTACGTTCTGGTTTTTGTTTTTGTTTTGGTATGAGGAATTGAACTCAGGGCCTCGTGCTTGCCAGGCAGACACTGTGCCGCTGAGCTATCTTCTCGGCCCATTTTTGTTTGTTTTTTCTTTTTGAGACAGGATCTCGCCATGCAGTTCAGGCTGGCCTTGAGCTCACTTTGTAGCCCAGGCTGGTCTCAAACTCAAAATGATCCTCCTTTCTCAGCCTCCCAAGTGCTGGGGTTACAGACGTGTGCCACCATGCCTGGCTGTATATGTTCTGTTAAATTTAAATTTCGTAGAAGTTGGTATTACCTGGTTAAAGATTTTGCTCGTTTTTTAAAAAATGTTTACCGGCCAGGGATACAGCTCAGTAGCGCAGCGCCTGCCTGGCAAGTGCGAAGTCATGAGTTCCATTCCCCGTACCAGAAAAAAAAAAAAGTTGCACAATCCCAGATTGCAGGTCCAATATTTTGAAAAGCAGGAGCCGAGGCTCAGAGACTTTTAGAGCTTGAGGCGGGTTACAATTGGAGAGAAACTTGAATCCAGGCTAAGAAAAATGGAAGTTTGTCAACAATGGAGAAGATAGAAAGTTTAGAAAACAGCGCACCACAAGGAACTCCAGGAGCGTGGAGGATTTGTTCTAGTTATTTTGGCAGGGGGAGGAACCTGTGGTGGGTAAGCAAAGTATAACAAAGGTAATTTAATAGACCAGGCACAGATGAAAAGAACCTGAACTTTCAGAGCAACACCTGTACATAAGCTTTGTGTTTAAAAACTTGTATTAATAATTTGTGAAGTGTTTTCTTAGTAGACAGTTAACATAGTTGTAATGTTACTAAAATGAGGAAAAAGCCTGCATGGGCCTTAAAAATCACTCCTTTGTGAGTACTTTCGTTTGTATTAGGTTCCTTCCTCTTTATAGCTTTGAAAGTAGGTGTTACTATCCGTGTGTGTGTGTGTGTGTGTGTGTGTGTGTGAGTGAAATGGGGAGAGGAGAGACAGACAGGATTTTGCTGTATAGTATAGATCGACCTTGAACTCACTATGTAGCCCAGACTGGCGATGAATTCATGGTGCTCCGCCTTCCTCAGCCTCCCTTGTTCTGGGGTTATAGGTATGCACCTGGCTCCCTGTTTTGTACACAGGGAAACACATTCAGACAGGCAAGCTAGTTTTGCCCAAAGGCACATAGCTGATATAGTGGCCCTGAATTGTTAGCTTTTTTTTTTAATCTCCTGACACCAGTCTGAACCCTCCTAGGCTTCTCTGAGGAACCACTTTTCCCCCTTCCTATGTGGTTCTCATGCCAGTACTGCTCTGGCATACCTGTGCTTCTGTCTCTCCCTTTGTAAAACCCTTTAGCTGTTGCTTTACTTGTGCATCTCTGTCTGGAAATCCTTGAGGGCAGGAACTGGTTTGTTCTTTCTTGTACCCTACCCACATTGTACGAGTTTACCAATTGGTAGGCCCACTGACTTGTTGTTATTGTTTGTTTGTATGGGATATGAGGCAAGAGAAAGAGGATCAGAATTTCCCTGTATGGATACTCTCAGGCCCCTGCTTCACATAACATTTATATTCGGAAATTATTAAGCATTTATATTTCATAGCATTTATTATCCCAAGGAGTGCACAGAGAATATAGAAATGGGTTCCAGAAGAGTTCAGGTGTCCATATTATGTCATCTCTTCAAAGAACTTAATAAGTCCCTTGTGAAATACAGTGGAAAAAGTTAGCTATAAATTCAGAATGTGATGGGCACAGTGATGCATGCGTTGTAGTTACCACACTCAAGAGGCTGAGGCCAGGAGTTCCAGGCCATCCTGGCGACATAGGGAGACCCCATCTCAAAGCAAACTGATAAAAAAAAATAGTTACATAATACCTACTACTGTAGATTTAAAACTGAAAGGAGTGCATTAGAGAAAACATTTTTTTTACATCTTTGACCTTTTGACTAATGATTTCTTATCTAATGTCTTCTGTAGGGAATCTTTTAACTGAGCCAATAGGCTACTTGGAATCCTGTTTCTCAGTCAAGAATGGAACTCCGCGGCAGCCATCCATTTGTAGCTATTCCCGGGCCTGTTTGAGGATTAGAAAGAGCATCTTTAATAATCCTGAACATTCCTTGATGGGTTTAGAACAGTTTTCTCACGTTTGGTAAGTTATTTTTATAATTAAAAATGGTACTTTGGGCCAGAACTTGCCCCAGTTAAAGGCAGCTTTGGAGTCTGCCATTCATACCACCCTTGGCTGTCGTATAGCATTCTCATACTGCACTTGTGCATGTGGTTGTCTGCATCATTTGAACACCTTCAGGAAAGAGTGGATCCACGGAGGGGATGTGCTTCATTTGCAGTTGTTTGTAGTTGTGAGGAATCCTTTTTGTTGAGCTGAAAATGTAGACCTCCACGATTCTGCCCGTGGGTTATTATGCTAGCCCTAAGAGGAAGAGTCCTCAGTCTATAGCCTGTGGACCAAATATGGCATACTGCGTGCTTTTGTACATTAGTTTTATGGGACCCCAGCCATGTCCATTTGTGTATGTACTGTCTGAGGCATGCACATTTATTTATGTATTGTGTGTGCTTGGTATTGTGCAACCCTGCCACAGTAGCAGAGTTCAACAGTTAAGAGTAGTGAGTGGTCTCAATCCTAAAATACTTCTGATCTTTTACAGAAAAAGGTTGTAGACTCATGCTCTAGACTTGGGAAGAATGAAGTGTACTCTTCCTAAAAGACAAGAGACCTTAGAAATCTAGGTACTACTCACTATGATATGGAATTCTGTCCGTTTTTCCTCACCCTTAACATTAGTAGTCCGAATTGGTCTCATTTTACTGGTGGAGACCTCAAATTAGATTGAGTTTATTCTGAAATAGGTTTAAAAAAAATGAAATAGGTTTTCATGTTAATTAGAATATAGGTAGATTAGAAAAGCATGAGTGGTCTGACCTAGTCTGTATGATGTTGATTGAGTTACATAAGTTAAAAAACATTATTTGTATGAAAGGTGTATTCAGAAGTATACAGAGATTTTTACTTACCCCTTCTATTTTTTCTTCTCATCCTTACCCCTCAACGCTCTTCAGAGGTTATAATTGTTAACAGTTTGATATATTTCATACCAACCTATTTTCTTCTTTCTTTTTTCCCTTTTTAATACACATAAAAGCTTATATATTCACATTTAGAGTGGATGTTGATTTTAAAAATGGAAGATGCTTTCTTCACTTAACACTGTATATTGTGGAGAGCCTCCATGGTTGTACATACAGATTTACCTTTTTTTCTTTGGTGAGACCAGGTCTCACTACGTAGCGCAGGCTGGCCTTGAATTGGCTTATGTAGCCCAGGCTGGCCTTGAGCTCCTCCTGCCTCAGCCTCCTGAGTGCTGGGATTATAGGCTTACAGGTGTGCACCACCATGCCTGGCCTTTTTTTTTTCTCTTTAATAGCTGTCTGTTGTTGCAAAATATAGATGTACCATCATTTGACCACACATCTAGCACTGTTTTGCTCTAAAATGAACAAATTTAAACAACAGTGTATGTCCTCCCCAAAACAATATGTTATTAGCGTTTTACATTTTTGACTAATGGGGTAAAACAGCTTTTTGTTTTTTGGGTTAATTTCTTAATTATTAATGAGGCCTAACATCTTTTGATATGATTCTTAGGTATTTGTAATTCTTTTATGTGTTGTCTGTTTATTTTCTTTGCTTAGTATCCTGTATTATACTGTATTGTCCTTTACTTGAAGAAAACATCTCCTTTACTTGTGGGGGGAGGGTACTAGGGGTTGAACCCCAGGGCCTTTGCTCTGAGCTATATTCCTAGACGTTTTTCTTTTCTTTCTTTCTTTCTTTTCTTTTCTTTTTTTTTTTTTTTTGAGACAGGATCATGCTATGCAGTTCAGGCTGGCCTTGAATTAACTGTGTAGCCCAGCCTGGCCTTGAACTCCTGGCTATCCTACTGTCTCAGCCTCCCAAGTGTTGGGATTATAGGTGTGTGCCACCACACCCAGCTTCCCAGCCCTTTTGTGTTTTGGGATAAGAGTCTCACCTAAATGCTAAATTGTCAAGGCTGGGCTCAAATTTTTCATCCTCCTGCCTCAGCCTCTCAGAGTGCTAGGATTACAGACAAATGCTACCACACTCAGCTTTACTTAGTGATTTATGTGGAAGTAATTTGTATGCCACAGATATTAACCCACTGCATATAGCAGAATTTCCTCTTAGTTGACATTTTGTAGTAAGAAATTTAATGATTTCAAATATGTTATTATTTTTGTTTATGGCTTCTTGATTTTGTATCTTGTTTTTTTTTTTTTTTTTTTGTTTTGTTTTTTTTTTATTTTGTATCTTGTTTAGGAAGGCCTGGTCAAATTATTTAATATTTCTGAGCTTCGTTTTCCTTATCCTTAAGAAGGGGGATAAATTATACTTCTTAAGATTATTAACAAAATTACATGACATAAGTATAAAAATGTCTAGCATACTGCTTGGCAAACAACATGTACTTAGTATTGTTTGTTCAGGCACGTGACAAATGCCTGTTAAGTTTGTACTGGATGTCAGTCATTGCCTTAGATACAAATTTGTAGAGATGTCTCTCTTCCTTCAAGGAAGGGTAATGGTTTTATTTTCTGCCTAATTCCATTAAAAACATTTTTTCTGTTAATTTGTGAGGGATGGCATTTCCCACCCCAAAATCATTATAATAAAATATCTTATACTTCTTTCACTCAGTGGTTTGATTTACTTTCTGTAGGATTTTGTTTGTTTTTCACAAAAATGGCCATTTGAGCTATAAGGCAAAAGTGCAGCCCCCTAGGCTGAATGGTGCAAAGATTGGAGTGTTTTCTACAAGGAGCCCTCATCGCCCCAATGCAATAGGACTGACTCTGGCCAAACTGGAGAAGGTAGAAGGTAACTCATTTCATTTCATTTTATCTTATTTTTCTTGCTCCAGAAAGTTTTGTAAAATCAGCACAGCATTCCTTGCTAGCTGCTGTTCATATGAACACCAGGGATATTAACTCTTGAGACTCCCCAGACGTTGAGGAAGAACTGATGACTGAAAGAATATTAGCATTGAAAACTTTTTTTTTTTTGTCTTTTAGAGACAGGGTCTCCCAGTGCAGTTCAGGCTGGCCTTAAGCTCACTTTGTAGCCCAGGCTGGGCCTTGAACTCACAACAGTCCTCCTGCCTCAGCCTCCCGAGTGCTGGGTGAAAACTTTTTAAGAAGTATATTCTCACAGGATGCTCAGAGTTTATCATTCATGTGATCAAAGCAAACAGTTTATCATTCATGTAGCCAAGGCAAACATGGTAACACATGCCTGTAATCCCAGTACTGTGGGAGGCTGAGGAGGATTGCAAGTTTGAACTCAACATGAGCAATTTAGCACTTAGTGATACTGCAGCAAACGGAAACACTGAGATGTCACGCAGGATTTGGGTGCAGATTTATTAATGTTGATGGACCTGACTGGGACTCATTCCCAAAGTGTCAGGTCCCAATCTCTGGTAGTCTAGGGCTTATATGAGATTTGCAAGCAGGAAGTAGAGAAGCAGAGTATTGGCGGTTATTGGTTGGTTACATCTTATCTCCTTATCACTGATTGGCCTAAAGGAAAATTATATCATATAGGCAAGTTTAAAGTCTGGGCAAGCTCAGAGTTACAGGAAACGCTTGGTTGAGGTAACATATGGGTTGAGAATGGAGTCAGTTAGATAAGGGAAATACACACTTGGTGCTGTAAAACAAATCTGATCAGGAATAGCTAGTTGCAGACTGGCATAGGACCTCAGAAACAACAATTTAACTATTTTCCTCTTCAGTGAGACCCTGTCTTAAAATAAAAAAGGCCTAAGGATGTAGCTCAGTGTGAATTTCTTGGGTTCAAGCACCAGTATCACAAAAATAGATAAATAATACAAAAGGGCTGAGGATGTAATGCAATTGTAGAGTACTTGCCCACCATGCAGAGGATCTGGATTCAATTCTCAGCAGCTCAAAGAAAAAAAAATTAGTAACCAAATTTTCTTAGAGTTGGAATATGGTATATACAAAGTGCTTTTTAAAAAGTGGATTCTTCCTAATGTAACACACAGTAACTAGCTGTACTTGCAGGTGTGGTATGGCACAGTGGGGTATCCTTTCTTCCTTGCAGCCTTGAGGAAATTGATACTGTGACTGCAGTGCAGCCATCAGCTGTGTTGTGGGGCAGGGCTGTGGGATGAAGCACACTGAAGAGTTACACATCTGGGAGAATCAGCACTCTGGTAGGCTGAGAGGAGGCGCACAAGTTGGAAGCCAGCTTGGGCAACTTAATATGAGCCTGTCTCAAAATAAAAAATAAAATGGAATGGGAGTGTATCTCAGTTGTAAGTGCCCTTGGGTTCAATCCCCAGGACCAGGAAAGGGTGGAGGTGGGGAGGGGGACTGAACATCTGTTAGACTGTAAAAGTGCCTATGTAGACTAGCAAGCTAGTTAACTGCATGTTCCTATGTAGCCAACAAATTTTTAGAGAGCTTCCCATTCTTAAATCACTCTGACCCAATAAGTGTATTTATTGGAGAGGTGAAGGATAAAATAGCAGGTAGTTTAGAAGTTTGCTTTAGCTTGAAGGATCTTCCCTGTCAGACTCCATTGGAGGTGTTTGTTTGTTTTTTTTTTTCAATTTGTTTTTTTTTTGGTATTGAAGATTTTATAAGACAAAAATCTATAAGAATACTCTTTCAGAGCATTAGACTCTACACAGATTTTACTTTTTATTTTTGTAGAACTTAAAACTCCTGTGCTGGACTCTAACCAACACAATAGGTTTTAGGTAGGTAGGAAATTCACTAGCTGGTCCATCCACCTTATCAGTGTGTGACAGCTTACTAAATTAGATACCTGTGTGGAGAAATTTTATCATTCGTGCAACCTGTACATATTTTCTACCATTGAATATGCACCAGGTAGTGTTTGAGGTGCTAGGTGCTAGATACTGTGGTAATCAAATCAGGTAAAAATCCTTGGTCTGAACAACTTTAAATTTTGTTGGGAGAGGTCAAATCAGAAAAGGTGAAAGAACAAGCACAAAAATCAATTATAAATAATGTGGAAATGGAAAAGGGAATGATTCCTTTCCTACCCATGGGAAGGGGTCATAGCTGACAACCCTATAACAGAAAACAGGTTAACAAGAAAAAGTATAGTAAACCTGGTGAGGTGTTGGTAGTACATAACTGTGATTTTACCTACATGGGTGGCTGAGGCAGGATGATCACAAGTTCAAGGCCAATCTGGGTAATTTAGTGAGACCCTATCTCAAAATAAAAAATGAAAAGGGCTGTGGATATAGCTTAGTGTTCTTAGTGTTCTCCGGTACCAGAAAAAAAAAATTTATTAAAGTGTCAGGGAAAAATCACAGCATGGGAGTCATATACAAAGATACAAGTCTCCCCATGAGCTCTTACCTATGCTACAGTGCCTTTTATTTTCCTCCAGACATTGTTAGGTATAATCTATCATTTATAAAGTCCAAACTCATCTTTCTGAAGTTCCAGGCTCATTAACAGTATGCATGTTTTAGAAATCAGGGTCTGTGAGTAGTCATGTTTTTCTTAAATGAAGACAGAATCAAATGTGACCACATGAAGTTTTTCAGTTCTTGGTTGGTCCATTTTCCATGGATCATGTTAGTAGACTCTATACCAGTAGTAGGAAGTGGACAGTATCTGTCCAAGTGGGACAACAGGAGACTTGTCCTTAATATTTTTTTGTTTGTTTGTTTGTTTTTGTTTTTTTGTTTTGGTTTTTTTTCTGGTACCGGGAATTGAACTCACGACCTTGCGCTTGCCAGGCAGGCGCTGTGCCGCTGAGCTAAATCCCCAGCCCCTCTTAATATTTGATAATGGTGATTTGTTTGCTGATTACTTTTGTTTAAGTCTTGTTGAATTTATTTCGGTTGCTGTATAGTAAATTACCAAAAGTGCATCAGTTTATCATTGCACATTAATGATGTATCTGGAACATTGCTATCTTTCTGTGGGTCAGGAGGATGAGCTCACTAGAGAATCCACAACCAAACTCACTTTATACCACTACTTCCTGGTAGGTGTAGGACTGAGGGTCTCAGGTGTTTGCTAGCGTTGGCTGGAGATCACCTTCTACTCCTAAAGGCTGCCTATACCTCCCAGAGGCAACTTGCATTTCCTTGCTACATGGCCCTTCCACCATGCCTGCTTATGTCCTCTGGTTTTAGGGAAAGTCTCTCAAGCGAGTCCTCTTGCTAGTACTGGTCTTACATGGAAACCTCATCACTGGAGGGCATCACAGTACTTTTGCCATATTCTGTTGGTTAGAAGTAAGTTCCGTTCAAAAGAAGGGACTGCACAAGGGCATGAGGTGGAAATCAGTGGGGCCACCTAGAGTCTGCTTGCCTCAGTGGAAACTCTCATTGGTCCTTCAGTGATACATTGAGGACTGTCCTGTTCCTGGACAATTAGAGGCACCAGTAATACAAAGATGAGTGGACTCCACCCATGCTTACTGTAGGGACAGAGACTGGGCAGGCCGTTGCTATTTCATGTGAAGAGGACTCTAGCAGAGGTTTGTACGCAGGCTGCTCTTTGAGACCCAGAAGGAATGCTTATGTCTGAAAGAGCCAGAAAGGCTTGGCGAAGACATATTTTTTAAGAGTCTTGAAGAGCAGGTAGGAGTTTGGCAGGTAAAGAAGAACTGGTTCCAGCGAGAAAGAAAAGCTTGTGTTGACAGTAGGTGTATAGAGCCCGGTGTATGAGAAGAATGTGAATGAGCTCTGTGAGGCACAAGCAGGCTGTTGGAGAGAGGATTTAGGGTATAATTGTGTCTTCCAATTGTTCTTCACATATATTTTAAAGAGGATTTTGTTCACCTTCTAGGTGGAGCTATATACCTGTCTGGAATTGACATGATACATGGCACACCAGTACTAGACATAAAGCCCTACATAGCTGATTATGACTCACCCCAAAATTTGATGGAACCTTTAGCTGACTTTAATATGCAGAATAACCAGCATAAACCCAAAACTGTGTCCCAGTCTGATGGTAAGACGAATAGCTATGACCAGCAACAGCTGTCAGGATATGATGCAGCACAGCTCTACCAAAGCACGAAAGAGAAACTTAAATGTTGTGAAGACAGAGCTTTAGAAGAAAACGACCTGAAACACAGTGATGCAACAGAAATCCAGCAATGTTTGTCTAGGTGCAGAGAGAGAGCAACGGATCTTGGTGTGGAACCAAGAAGCCATCAGAGTCTGAATGTGGCAGAAGAGAAGATGGGCCCACATGGCCTTGAGAAGACCCCTCAAGAAGAAGGTACAGATAGGAGGCCAAGGAGTGGGGAAGGAGCCCTAGTTGTACAAGGAGACAGTGTGGAGATGCAGCCCATGCCTCATCCCTGTCCGGCCAGGACCAGGATGACTGACAGCATTGTTCCTGCCTGGGTGAAAGAGGCACCCACGGCCCCTTTACAAGTCCGATTTACTCCTCATGCAGAGATGGACCTTCAGCAGCTCAGCTCAGGAGGTACATCAGGTATCCTTGGTCTCTTAGTCCTGAATGAGAAATGAGCTTGTACTCACTGTGAGATTTACCCAGGTGTGGTATTTTTGAGGCCAAGTTATATGGAGTATTTGTGAGTATAAGAAATAAAGAATATAAACCGGTATTTGCGCAATACTAACATATTAGTTAGTATTTTGTTTAACAACAGTTTGATCACAGGTAGTTCTAGGTGCTCAGTAGAGCATTTGCAGAGCATGGTGGCTGCCTCCAGCAGCGGCCATGGTTGGTAGCCCCTTCTCTTCCTGTTATAGTTATTCTCAGAGTTTTTGAACAGGATTCAGAAGCTGAATTGTGCTTGTTCTGTTCTTAGATACACTTAAGTTTCTTCTCTGTTTTATTACCAGACTAGAGAAGTGTTGTGTTTTATTCTGGCCATCAAGTAGCCTTGGCATAGAGGACTCCAGGAACCTACAGGGAGGGCAAGAGTTTCTTTGCACAGAACTTGCCCTGCAAAGACCTAGCGCTACTGACATGTGCTGTCATGAGAGAGGCCATGGGGCCCTTCCTTTGGAGGCCGTTTAACACATGGTTCTTAGCACATGTGATTTGGCTTCCCTGTCATACAGCAGATCCAAGCAGCAGTCTAGAATGATGGAATAAGTTGTTCAGAGGTGCAAACAGTGATGCTAGTAAGAAGCAGCCAATTGCTAAGTAGATGTTAGATTCAAAAAGGTAGAAAGCTGTTCTTGTGTTACAGGGTTAAGAGGCGATGGCCTTATAAAGAAGAAAATCCATTTGTTCTGCGGTTGTTCTCTGCATTGCTTCTGGGTACCAGGTGCTGTTCTAGGCCCTTGGAATATATTAGTGAGCAAAACTGAGCAAAAGATTTTATTTTATTTTATTTTTTACTTATTTAGTTTTTTGTCTTTTTGAGACAGAGTCTCGCTATGCAGTTCAGGCTGGCTTTGAGCTCACTTTGAAACCCAGGCTGCTCTCGAACTTGCAACGATCCTCCTGCCTCAGCCTCCCGAGTGCTGGGATTACAGGCGTATGCCACTATGCCCGGCTAGCAAAAGATTTTAAAAAGAAAACCTGCCTTCCTGAAGCTTGCATTCTAATGGGGTGGAGAGAGACAAACTAAGAGCATAGTAAGCACGCAAATTATGCAAAACATACAGAAACATTATACTTACATGGAGCAGTGTTGGGTATTGGCAGTTTTAAGCAGATGGCAGGAAGAAGTGTCCCGGAAAAGACACATACGAGTAGAGGCCTAAGTGGGGAAAGACGGAGCAAAGCTGTCCAGGAAAAGGACTGGAGGGACAGCCAGTGCTTACCCCAGGACAGAGGGTGTGTGGCATGTGAGAGGCTGCATGGCAGCAGACTGAAGAAAGGCAGAGTGGAAGGAGCAGAGATCAGAGAGGCTGCGGGGAGGGCATGAGAGTTTACAGGCCATTTCACGGACTGGAAGTTGTATCTTGGGGAAGGAGAAAGCAGAGGAACTTGACTTCAGTATTCCCAAAGGTCAGGAGCCATCTCTAATATCAGATCCCTGGCCAGAGCAGACTATAAGTGATTTCTGGACTGTCCAACCTCAGTGGCAGGCAAAAGCAGACTGGAATTTAATTATACAACAAAGCCTTTCATTCCATACCCAGAAAATAAAGTCTTTAGCAACCATAGATGTTAGAATTCCCCCGCTTTAAAAGAAAGGAGAGAATTCAGAAGATTAAGAGGGTGTTTGACTTTTGTCACTCGAACCTGAAGTCGTTGGAATGAAAAAAGAGATCTAAACATTGGGGCCATAGACAAATGCTACAGCTAACTCTGGAGATTTCCCCATATCTTCCTGGCAGGACCAGCCCACCCTCATGCCTTTTGCAGATGAGGAAGAGGCATCCTTCCTTTTTATGGAAGCAGACACCTTTCAGGGTTTAGGCACTGGGGTTAGCCCCCTGTGCCAGCCTGGGCCAAGTACGAGGGCACCACCTGCACCTCTGCATATGCACCCTGGGTATGGGAGCAGTGATGCCACTTGGGGGCTGTGCTTTCTCTCCTTTTTTTTTTTTTTTTTTGTCTTTGCTGTTTCAGCCTCCGGAGTACTGAGATTACAGGCACGGGCCACCACACCCAGCCATCTCATTCTTTACTAAGACTTTATTTATTTATTTATTTTTATTTATTTATTTTTTGTATTTTTGAGACAAGGTCTTGCTGTGCAAGACCGTCTATGAGCTCACTTTGTAGCCCAGGCTGGTTTTGAACTCACAATGATGCTCCTGCCTCAGCCTCCTGAGTGCTGGGATTACAGGCATGCGCCACCACACCTGGCCTAAGACTTTATTTTTTCAATAAAGCTTTTGACTTTAAAATCTTATTTTTGGGCTGGGGTATAGCTCATTGGCATAAGCGCCCGCCTGGCAAGTTCAAGGTCCTGAGTTCGATTCCCAATACCAAAAAAAAAAAAACAAAACTTTATTTTTAAAGTTTTGTTATCAGTGTATACAGTTGATGGGAGGAGGAAGGTCAGCTGGAAAGGATTTTTTGATTGGACAAAGGAGCGCAGCCATAGGCACTTTATGTCACATTTACCCTTGTCTTGTGATTATTGTTTTTTGTTGTTGTTGTTAAACCAGGAATCGAACTCATGACCTCAAGCTTGCCAGGCAGGTGTTTATGCCGCTGAGCTATATTCCTGGCCCTTGTGATTATTGTTGAATGCTACCTACTGTGGAAAGTTACTCAGTCTACAGTGCAATGTCTGAGGTGTCTCAAATATGCTTTATTCATAAAAAGTAGTTAAAAGAAAAAGTATACAGCGTAACTGTAAGACAGGAACTTATTGATAGCAAGCAACAAAATTCAGAGCCAGTTGAGAGAGGAGATAGCTTCAGGATGCTGAGTACCTAGGAGAGGTGAAAGAGGTTGACAGGAGGGAACTAATGCCAGCACAGAAGTTAAGGCAGGAGGTTGGGGCATGTCTTGGTTACTTTTCTCTCATTACTGAGACAAAATACCCAATGCCCAAAATGAAGGAAGGAAAAGTTTATTTAGCTTACAGTTTGTGGAGGTTTCAGTCCATACTTGGCTGGCTCTGAGGCAGAGCAGCACATGGCAGAGGGCAGAATGGGGCTACAGTTCATGGCCACCAAAGGTAGCAAAAGCAGCAGGAGCAAAAGGGAGGAATGGCAGCAAGCAGCCTCTTCCCCTCCCTTAACGTTGTATGCAAACTACCCGCTCCAGGATGGGTGTAGCACTCACACCTGTAATCCTAGCATTGGATCATGGATCAATCACAAATCGTAGAAGCCTGCCCCATGACTGCATGAGGATTTGGGGGGACATGCAGACACAAACCATAACAGGGCAGAAGCAGTGGGTGTTGAAAGGAGAGAGGAATGCTGGTTAGGGTAAGGTCAGAAAATACGGGCAGACTTCCTGGAGGAACAGCAGAGGAGAGAGCGTAAGCTCAGCTAGGGAGGACGAGTGGACAGGAAGTGGAGTACAGGGCATCAGCAGCCATGCAGAGGCCTGGAGTTTCGGCCTGAAACGCTGCTGTGGAGGCCTGAAGTGAACTCCCCTGAGTGGCCTTTTATAATCATTTTATGAGCCAGTCCGTAGAAGAATCCTGTCACCATGTAATTTGGCCTCATTTTTTTTCATCAAAAAATGTACTTCATGGTCTTATATACCAACTTACTTCTGGCTGTAGCCCAGAGTGATTTTTGGCCATTTATAAAAACCAGCTCCACTCGAAGAAAGATAAAGACCCACCACTACTCCAAATGATATTTTGAGTGGGGATGACATTTTTACAATACTGTCTATGTGCTTTTCCAGAAGGGGCTGGCCTTCATTTAGGTGTCTGTCATGTTGTAGCCATAGTTATTATTTTTATTTGTTTTGTTTATATTGTATTTTTAAAAATTGAAGTACATTAAGAATGATGTGAATATGAAAGTTTTTGTTCCTTGACAAGTAAGCATCTGTATATCTCCTTGAAGTATGCACTAGGGTGGAACAGAGTGGCTGGCTCCCTCATGATGCCCTTGAATACTTTCTCTGTGTGCGTCTCCTTTTCTTTTGTCCCAGAGTGTCACCTGTTTTCGTTTGTTAGGGACATGGAGTTACTTGTAACAGTGGGGCTGTGACACTGATGTGCCCTCCCTTCCTTATAATAGTGTTCTAGATAGGCATGGGTTTGGTTCACTTTCTTGTGACTTTTGGAAAGTCCTGGAACTCTTACACATTTATTTCCTTGAGAAGGTATTAAAAAGGTCTACACTGAATATAGAAAAAGTGGCATTTTAGTTGACAGAAAATGAAAGCCCTTTCTCCTAGTTAGGAGACTAATGAAAAATACCAGCATACTTTTTTTGTTCAGTGAAATAAGAATGTAAGGATACACCGGGAAATCTATTGGCAGTAAATACCATTTGAAGGTGACATTCTGTGTAAAACACTGAAAGAGATGCACTGAGTAGATTGCCCACCTCATTCAAGTAATGTGTAAGGAGCCAATCACATTCCATATCTAAGCCCCACTGTCATGACATTTAACCTGCGTGATTTTGAGCAGTAAGCTGAGTTCTTCTCGTTGCAGATGCTGGCCAAGCGTCTTTTAGGTATTTTCGGTCAACAGAGGAAGCAAAGTATGCCATCGAGGCTGTGCTGTCTGCTGATCCCCGCTCAGTGTACCGGCGGAAGCTCTGCCAGGACCGCCTTTTCTACTTCACTGTGGACAGAGCACATATCACTTGCTGGTTTGGCGATGGCTTTGCAGAGGTTCTCAAGATCAAGCTGACCTCTGAGCCTGTGCATACGACTGACCCTAGGGATCCTTGATGTCTCTACGATCTTTTTTTTTTGTCTTTTTGAGACAGGGTCTCACTATGTAGTTCAGGCTGGCCTTGAGCTCACTTTGTAGCCCAGGCTGACCTTGAACTCGCAATGATCCTCTTGCCTCAGCCTCCTGAGTGCTGGGATTACAGCCTGTACCACCACACCTGGCTATATCTCTAGGATCTTAAGGCGCCTCCAACATGTCTTTGAAACAGCCTCATTGGCCTCTGGATTTTTTCTTCAAGCTAATTTTGTGTCTTTGTAGAAAGAAGCAACATTTTATAATTTCACTGTATTGATGGGGGAATGTTCAAAATATTTATTTTAAAATGTATTTTAATAAACTTAACTAAGAGATACAAGATACAGAGTAATCACCGTATCCTTTTTGACCTGCTGATGAGGAATCTGAAGGTGATACTGATTTTGGTGATTTTCAGAAAAGTTGATAAAATTAGGCAGAGGTCATTCTTTTTTTGTTTGTTTTTTTGAGACAGAGTCTTGCTGTGTAGTTCACACACTGGCCTTAGACTCAATATGTAGCCCAGGCTGGCCTTAAACTGCTAGCAATCCTTCTCCCTCAGCCTCCTGAGTGCTGGGATTACAGGTGTGTAATCTGGCAAGGCAGAGATCATTTTATTTATTTATTTATTTTTTGGTCTTTTTGAGACAAGGTCTCGCTATGCAATTCAGGCTGGCCTGGAGTTCACTTTGTAGTCCAGGCTGGCCTTGAACTTGCAAGGATCCTGCTGCCTCAGCCTCCCAAGTGCTAGGATTACAGGCGTGCACCACCACGCCCTTCCCGCAGAGATCATTTTAGCAGAGATTTTGAATCTAAAGTTGATGTGTTCAGTGATTCACATTGGGGTTGGGGATGTAACTCTGTGGCAGAGTGCTTGCCTGGCATGTGTGAGAATCTGGGTTTGGTCCTCAGCACTGCAAAAATAAAGTAAAATAAAAATCCCCCCAAATCTAAACAACTTAACATTGGTTATCCCATCTGGAGCCTAACATTTTTTATTCTGAATCAAGCTGAGTTATGATATCTTAGGAAATTAATAAAAAAACAAGTGATTATAAAGATTTTTAGAAGTTACACCTCTGTTTTGGAGACTTTGTTACATTTGTATGTATTTAATTTTAATTCCAAAATAAGGACTCTTGAGCTTTCTTTTGATGTCCTTGTATCAGAAAAGAAAATCACCCCAAAAACCTATTTTATTTCTGTCTTGTTTTGTGGCTAATGGAGAACCCACTATGGATTAGGTTTTACTGATAAAATGAAATGAACAAAATGCAGTTTTTGTTGCAAGTCATGGTAGTGGAGGTTAGACATAAGTTATTATATTACAGTTTGATAAATATAGTAATTAAGTCTGTACACAGTTCTTGTACCATATGAAAAGCAGGTATAAGGCCATGTTGCCGTGAGGGGCTTGGAATGTAGCTCAGTAGCACAGCACCTGCCTGGCAAGCTCAAGGTCCTGAGTTTGATTTCCAGTACCAAAAAAGACCATGTTGCCTATAGGTGATCCTAGATAACTGAAGTGTATTGTAAACCTGAAAGCTGATTGATCGTGGCTTTGAAGTTCTGTCTGTGTCCTTGTATAGAGTCATTTGTGGCTATTGAGTCCTGAGCCAAACTGGTTTGCAGCTGTTATCTTTGATATTACTTACAGTGTCTTGGGGACTTATCCAGTTAATAATAGCCCTCAGTTACTGCAGGCTGATCAGGTCTGCAATCTCCGGAACGAGTGTATGGTGAAGGCTATATAAAAAGAGGCAAATGGAATGATTTCAGGGCTCCAGGAGGATCAGAGCCCTCTCACTGAATTAGAGATTCTCTCAGGGCAAAGTCCAAGATCTCTGGGTGGCCCGTATTTATTTGGTTATCAGAAGAAGGGAGGGGAATATTCAAGAAGGGCAGAATTTCTCAAGGACTTCTCCAAGTAAGGTATTAAATTAATTCTTAATAAAGATTAAGTTAATTCACCCAGGAATGAGGATGCCTGAGGCTGTAGTCCTTTATCTAGTTGAGATTGATCCAGGTGTCCTTGGCTGTGATCTTGTCTTATCCTTTGAGGCTTTCTGGCTTCATCCGCTATTATAGGCTTTAGTAGGGATCAGTGACTCACAGAGGTTCACTTACTATGAGTCCATTGCCCACTTCCAGACAAGTGGTCTAGGCTTTGGACAGATTCACAAGTAAATGTAAAAAGCCAATTGGTTAATGTAAGCCCTGCTCATGGCTGCTTCATAGTGGTGTCCATCAGGGAATTTTGTTTGTTTTTTTGAATTTTTTTTGTTTTTGTTTTTTGTTTTTCATTTTTTAAAGACAGGATCTTGCTATGTAGCCTAGGCTGGCCTTGAACTCAATGTCTCCTGCCCCAGCTTCTCACATGCTGGGATTACAGGTGTGTACCTCCAAGCCCCACTCTTGGGGAAGTATTTTAAATCTGATTTTTAAAAAAACTTTCTCGTTTGGAATAATTAAAGATATTCCTTGTTTAACGACCTACCTGCTTAACAACCATATGGACTTACGACAGGTGCACTGTTTGGACTCATGACCCATTGCTCAGATTTATGACCCATCTCTTTTGTATAGTTCTCTACATGTTGTTTACAGAGCCTCAGTGTCTTTTTTTGTACAGTACACCTTGTTTACATAGTACTATAATTTTTGCTGATTGTACTGTACTGTAGCTATATGTTCTGTTATATATTACAATACAGCATGTAAGAATTATGCAAATAAAAACAGTCATCAAGTTGGAATTTCCCTTGACCATTTCTTTTTTTGTTTGTTTGTTTGTTTTTTTCTGGTACCAGGAATTGAACTCACGACGTTGCGCTTGCAAGGCAGGCACTGTGCCGCTGAGCTAAATCCCCAGCCCCCTTGACCATTTCTTAGTTTGAATATTGGACGTACTATATACAATCCCACATTCAGTGACCAGATTCATTTAACGACTAGCTGCAGAACTGACACTTGGTAGTTAAATGAGAAATATCTATATAGATTTACAGGAAGTTGCAAAAATATACAGAAATCCACTGTAGCCTTGACCTAACTTCTTCTAGGAGTAACATCTTGTAGAGCTATGGTATAATGAAGCCAAGCAGTTGATGTTGGTGCAGTCTGCCCTCTAGTTTGATTTTGAAGTGTTTTTTAAAATTGTTTGGGGCTGTGCCCATCTCCTTGCCTTGGTCAGCCCTGTGAGGACATCATCTCCAGCCCCTGGATCCTAATGGCAGCTGAGCCACTGACGGAGCTAGAGGCCGCCATTGAGACAGTGGTCACCACTTTCTTTACCTTCACCACACCCTTCACCTAGGGCGAGAAGGCTGAAGGGCAGCCTCAGCATCAGTGAGTTTCAGGAGCTGGTCACCTAGTGGTTGCCTCACCTGCTCAAAGACTGGACCCAGAGCTGGATTCCAGAAGATCCACAGACCGTACATGGAGCTACATGGAGACTGCCCAAAAGCAAATATGGCTCAGATTCCTCATGCACACCTGTAATCCCAGCACTTGGGAGGCTGAGGCAGGAGGATTGTCCTGAGTTCGAGGCCAGCCTGAACTACATAGCAACATCTTGTCTCAGAAAAAAAAGACAAAACAAAACCACACCCTAGCAGGCAAATTAATGTGTTTGTAAGAATTGAATACTCTGTGTGGAATTAAAGCATTGGGCAGAAAATAAAAAGAGGAAGACAAAAACTTTTGAATGTCATAAAATTACAAATACAGAAAACAACAAATTATAAATGCAAGTTACAGGTTTCAGTGACATTAGTAACCAGAACATAACCAATGAGTTGCTTAAGCATGCACTATCTTAACTAATTTGTAAAGGGATAGAAGTTGATGATGAAGCCAAAGGATCTTGCCCTCCTTTTCCTATGAGGAAACCTGGACCACAGCTTTCCAGTAACTTCCACAAGCTGAGGTTGGTTTTCTTAAAGAAAACTGACAGCAAAGGGCATATTCTGTCTGTCCCTCTGTGCCTTTCATTGTAATAAATTTTAAAAAGTTTTTTAAAGTATTTGGAAAGCAAGTTAGAGCTTGAAGCAAACATGTTGATTTTAATGTGGAGCAGCACCAGGGAGGATACAGGATAGCCTTCTGAGGGTTATTACATGTTCTCAGGATTTTAGAGCTAAAAGGGATCTTAAATGTAATCTGGCTCCATTTCCTGCCGTTCATTTCTTCCTCAGAGCTGCTGGTGTTCGGCCTTGCAGTGTCTCCCTAAGCACTTTCCCAGGTAAGGCAGTTCATTTTTGGTGGACAGTGCTCGTTATTATATGGTCTTCATTTATAGGAGATGAAATTTTCTTTCTATTCACTTTACCGCTAGTGGCGCTGGTTGCTCTCCCAAGTTAGCCTGCCAGACCGTAGCTGAGCACCGCGTTTTCTTCTATTTTCACATCACATGAGCTCAAGCCCCTCCCGACTTCAAGTCCTGCTTGAGTGTCCCCTGCATACTTCAGGTGCCCCACTGTGAGGAAATGTGGGTGTCTGGTTTGTGAACCTTCATCTCAGAAAGAGAAACAGGCCGAAGCACAAGTCTGAAACAAGCGTATTCTTGTGTTGGACACTTTTTCAAAAGAACAAGAAAGGGTAACAACGCTCCTAGGCATAAATAATCCTGCCTAATTTTCAGCTTTTGCATTTTAGTACCTGTAGGGGGAGCCCTTGATGGCATCTTTTTTGGTTTATTTTTTTTTTTGTTTTTTTTTTTGCTCTAACTTGGAGGTAAGCTTGGAATTTCAAGTTGTTCAGGTAGTTTTGGCTTTGGCACAGCCCCAGCTTTCAGGAACAGTCATTTCTACAAGAAATGCTGTTGCGTGTCAGCCGCATATAGGAAGAGATTACAAGGATGAGTGGCATGTATAAATTTTTCTTAAATTGCAGCTTGGTTTCAGGAGTAGGATGGATTGGTCCAGCCTAGGAGGTGGTGTACGGTCAGATACACTCAGTAGTTAAATCCATGAGCACCAGTGTTGAGACATGCACTGTACCTATGTGTTTGTGACCCTTTTCCTTGGAGAGGGGAATGAAATAAAAACCCTGATTCAACCTCTTTT